TTTCTTATATGTCAGGCGTGATGAGGCGGCCCGAACAGGAATCGGTGATGCGAACACAACCTTGTTTTGGAAAAAAAGGAGTGAGATGAAGAAATTACAAAAGTAATGTGATGCTTTCACTCTTTTCCTCATTTGGAAGAGGAATGGTGAATCTCGGTCAGAAGGCACCAGAAAAAAACGACACCGTTACTCTAGAGTGGGTTATATTCGAGACTGTTGTGAGAAGGTCAAGTGGCCAAAATGCGTGAGATGAAAACAACTTTTTAAGAAATGACAGAGAAAGATGAAAAGTTCTGGTTAAATATTTGAAATTTCCAGAAAGCCAAGAAAGCATTGACAACAGTTTTTGAAATGAATTAACTTCATTTCTCTGATAGAAGCCTACCCAAGCCGTCAACTTTGAGCTCAATTACCTCAGTTCCTATGAATGATATGGAAATCTGTTAACTGATAAAATATTGGTGGTATTATGATAAATAATTTATCAGTTGGAATTTTATTGGTATCTTCAAAAGGAACCAAGATAAGTTGGCTCAAAGTTGAAGCTAGGGGTCATTTTATTATAGAGTTTACGGTATGGTTAAGAAAAATTGTTTTCAGCCTTCTATACTGTATCCGTTATCATTTTCCGGACATAAGCAAGACAGGAATACATTTCAAAAGCTGAAATTATTTCAAAGTTCAACTATTTCGTGTTAAATAAGGTCCTTATGAAATTTGGAACGCCTTATTTCCTCTAAAAACCCACGCAAACTGTCCGCCAACTTTGAGCTTCATTATGTCGACTCCTGTGAAAGATTTGAAAATTTTGTTAAATGATAAAAAAGAGGAAATCTAGTAATCTTCTATTCCTATTTCTACAATCTTCTATTTTAAAATAAAAAAATTAGCAGTTCAAAGACCAGCTGCTGATTAGCTGCTAACAATTTGAAGCTGCTAAATGGCTGTGTGCTAAATCTACAAGATCCAAAACATTACTAACGTCTCCAAGCCTTATGAGCCCACGTTCTTTGTTTCAAGCCACTAGAATCCAAGAAGAGCGGCAAAACGATTGCTCTAACAGAAAAAACGAGAATTCATAATTTATGACACCCATATGTCCTTTTTCTTTAAAGAAAGGGCAGAAAGGGATGAGCAAAAATGACAAATCGTTCGAGGTTGAAAGAAGCCGTTCAGTTTCGGATTTTTAGTTGCCATAAAAGTTTTTCAATTCTCAGAAATCTCAATTTGAACGTCTACAATGAGATTCACTCATCAAAAGAGAAAAAAACAAAACACGGAAACGTTAATGTGTCGCTAAGAGTGTGTCGAGAAAGAGAGATGCGCGCGCGGAAAGCGAACACCCGTAGCGGATCGGAATGAGAGAGGTGAAGAGGTCACCCAACTGTACGAGAGTGCAGAAAAAATAATAGAGTGGTGTAAGAGACGCAGAGAACGGTTTGGTGTAATATGAATACACATAGTGATCGGTTGATGGTGAAGGTGGGAGGTGGTGATGGGTGCAGCCAAACGGAGAATAAAAGAAAGAAGAGGAAGACAGGCCCCTGGTTATGCTCACCACATGGTGTGCACCGTCATCTCTATTTGCATGGTGGTAGGTCAGATCGTCGTCCTGTCTGGTGCCTGGGGCTCAATTGACTTTTATCCGCATGGGTGGGTGGTGGGAGGAAGTGAGAAGAAGAAGACAGATAGGTGAGGGGGGTTGGTGTGGAAGCTCATGACAAGTCACCACTCGTTTACACCATTTTATTATTCATTGCACTCGGTGAGGTAAATGAGGGGAGGGTCACACCCACTAAAATTTGGAATAGAGGGAGAATGAATAATCTCAGAATAGAGAACAGTGGCAAATCTGAAGGAAATGAATAAGTTTTCGGGAAATGGACAAATTAAATTTTCAGGATCAATATCATCTGAACCTCAATCTTAAAATTTAGGATAGTCGATAAAAAAGAAAATACAGTAAACATTCTATTGAAACGGCTTCTAAACCGTCAAATATGAGCTCATATATCTCATTCCCTGTGAAAGATAACAAAAAGTTGTCTGCTGACAAAATGTTTATTATAATATAAAATTTTTTGTCAGTTGATCGCTTTTGGTATCTTTCACCGAATCTGAAATAAATTGGCTCAAAATTATTAGTTTGAAAATCATTATATTAGAGTGTGTGGTATCTGTTCACCATTCTCACACATTTACCGTAATTCCTCTAAAAGAAGCTTACCCAGATTGTCAACTTCGAGCTCACATATCTCATTTCCTATGAAAGGTATCAAAAAGTAATCAGCTAATGAAATGTTCATTATAAAACCAAAAATATTTTGTCAGTTGACTACTTTTCTATATCTCTCACGAGAGCCAAGCTAACTTGGTTCGAAGTTGATAATTGAGAAAGTCATTCTATCAGAGAGTTTAGTGTATGTTTTCAGGAAATTGGCAGATGAACAACCTTTAACCTTACATTTTGGGCATATGCCGATTAAAAAAAATGTTTTATACGTAATGCGGTCAGAACAGGAAACTTAGAAAAAATAGGCTGGTAATCTATAAACTTTCGAAGATTATCTTTATTGAAGATAATCTTTATTGGAAAAATCCGAAAACTGGGATCTCGCTGGAAATCCAGTGAATTTCAAAAAATATTGACATCTAGAATTCTCCAATTACTCTAGAACCTCAAAAACTCTGCAGCTAGAGACCCAAGACCTAATCAATCAAGAATCTAATTTCATAAGAAACTTGAAAACAGGATTTCTTGATAAATAATGTTTTTCAAAAGACTCTACTCAATTGTTATTGTCCGATTCTAAATTATTACCAGTCTTACCCAATAGAATGTTCAAAATCTACTTCACCATGAAATATTCAAGAAAACGTGATGAGCGGTGCTCTCGAAGTCTTCTCTCTGTTGTCTAGGCACGACTACTACTTGAAAAACATAGACAGAGGTAGTAAAAAGCTAAAAAGATGCGGTTGCTAGGTGTCACTTCAAGTTTTGGAGGCCCTTGAGATGTTTTCAAAAGGAATATGAAGAAAAATAAAATGTCTGGACTCTCAAGTCTTCTAGAAAAGCTTTTAGCACTCCAGTTCGATCTAAAATGAAAAAACACCTAAAAGGCACAAAAACAGCAAGATGTCAAATGAAGTTTCATCAATAAGTAATGATCTAGTTGTGATCGTGTTGCAACACAAGAAAAAAGCGAAATGAGAACGAGAAGAACAGAGAAATTGAGAAACAGCGAAATGGGGGAGGGAATGGAAAATAAAATGAGATGCGCGATAATAATGTAGGTCAAAAAGCCATTCTCGATATGGAGGGAGAAGATGAACATGTTACTATGTTATCTTTCGCAATTTTGAGACCGAAAGTTGGACAGGGCTAAAATAGATTCTGGAAACTAATTTTATCAGTTAAATTGCTTCAACTACTAACGATACCTGAGGAATTCGCTGAAACTGAGGAAGAAACACCACTAAAAAACTGAAGGTGGCAATAGGTACACACAAAACGCGCAATATGATAAGAGGGGGAGAAAAGGGTAGAGAGCACAATGGCGCCCGGCGTGAAGAAACAATGGCACAAGTGTTGTTTAGAGGTGACGGTTAGCGGGAGTGAGGTATGCAAATAAAACACACGCACACACAGACGCGCCCATGCAGTTTGCCTTAAAAAAAATGATTGAAAGGACACGGAGAGAGGGAGTCGACCCCGTAATATCGGGTCGGCAACGCACTTTGATTAGCTATCCGCCGTCCTCGTCCCCCCTCTCCGCCAATCTGTTCGATTGATTGATTAGAGAATGATTGATCCGTCATTACACTTGACATTTGTTTCGTAATTATTATTGTGGGGGGTTTCGAAAGTATGAGGAACAGAAGAAGAAGAAAACGCATGTAGGAAATGAGAAGACGAATGTCATATTGTTGTTGTTAGATAAGGAGTAGGGGGAATCAGTTCGGTCTTATCAGCCGGAAATTTGAACACATCGTTTCTACAAGAAAATATGTATTTTCTCTGCCAAAGTTAGGTTTACTGGACTCATCAACGTCTAGCTGTTAGGTCATTGAAGTTTTTCTTTCAAGAATTTCGTTTTGTGTAAGGTTGAAAAATGGTATCTTTGAAACACGTTTGAATAAACACTTTGATATAATAGAATGACATCTTAACTTCTAATTTTGAGCTCATACATATATCCTGTGACAGATATCAAAAAGTTGTCAACCGGTTAAATGTTTATCATAACATCAGGAATATTTTGCCTATTAACCACTTTGTGATACCTTTCACAGGAACCGAGATAAATTAGCTTAAAGTAGAAAGTTAAGGGGTCATACCATTAGAGCGTTTACAGTGATCAATATAATTTCAAGATGGGCATTGTTAAAGTTTCAATCATAAAATTTAGGCGTGACGAATTTGAAATTTTCAGGGACCTTTTTGTGCCACTGGAAAAATTGAACAACTGATGTGAGATCTCGAGAAATGGAAAAGAAAAGAAACAATTATTTTATATTTCATGAGATTTTGGAGCATCCGAGTTCAGGTGATTTGAGCTTGTCAGTTGTAATCTGTCAACTTTGAATCAAATACGCACAAAAATCGGCTATTACGAGATTAAAAATCACCCAAAATAGAATGGGCATACCTCAAGACCTGTAACAGAAAAAAACTTTAGCAGCTAATTTCCAGCCGATTTATCTCGGTTCGTGTAAAAGATATCAACAAATTGTCAACTAATAAATTGTTCATCATATTATCACATACATTTCATCAGCTCACACATTTTCGTATCTTTCACCGGAACTAAGATAAATTTGCAGAAAGTTGAAAGTAAGGAGCAATCCATTCTATTAGAACGTTTACGGTATGTTTGATTCGATACAAGATTTTCCAAAAAACTTTATTAGGTGAAACATTATAAGCAATACAGTGAATGAAAACAGTGCCTAAGCGTGATATTTTCGTTTTGTGAACCACAAAAGCAAGCCAACGACAATTATTCATATACAGACACCACAATGAACTGACGATGATGCTCGCAGAATGCGCTAGCGACACCAACCCAACATAGTGACTGATCATCGAGATGGTTTCGGGTACCGTACTCCTCGGCTTCATCCCACCAAGTGTCGGCGATAGAGTCGTTCACTCGAGATCCCATCCAGATATTCATGTTCTTGTTTCGATCGCTTCTGAAAGTCAACAGGGATTCCTTCAGAGACATTCGACAAAAAATAAAAATACCTGAATTCTCCTCTAATCGCAAGCATCCTAGCCCACTGAGCTGCAATATCGGCAAGTCGGACAGAAGGTTCTAATGGTGGACAAGCCATTCCTCTTCGAATTTTGTTCATTCTATCGATAAGACAATCCAGAGGTTCTCTCCATTCGACTCTCTGAGTAGTGGATTGCAAAGTTCCAAGCGGGTATTGCGGTGGGAGAGATGGTTGAGGTGGTGGAGGTGGCGGTGGCAAATGATCTCGTTTTGCAGTTCTTCAATAGCATCTTTCTATTGAATTTTGAAGTTTAAAAAGCAACTCACTTTAGAATAGATGTCTTGCGAACATAGGAATCAGTGGTTTTCCATTCGGAATCTTGACTACTCGGCTCATCATTTCTACTGTACTCGCGAATAATTGTAGTGGGCACTACACGGTCGATTCCTGGTATTTTGAGATGTTTATGCTTATAGAGATAATTACTCTGAGAATATTGTAAACCTTGTGATAGAAAACCCTCCTACTGTTCAATTTTGAGCTAATTCGTATCGGTTACTCTCGAAGATTATAAAAAATTGTCAACTGATAAATTGCTTATCATAATATCACAAAAATTTTATTAATTGACACATCGTCTATAATTTTCACAAGATTCAAGAAAAATTAGTTGAAACTTGACAGTTTGAGAATCTTATTTTATAGGTTTTACGGTACTCCTGATTCTAAATTCTCATCTCTATTCGAATTTCGAAACGTTTTCCTGTTTCAGAAGCACATTTATCATTTTGGGATGATACACTTTTTTCCCAATTTATCTCTATTTCCATGGAAGATATTAAAATTGGCGCACTAATGAAAGTTTTTACAATTTTGTTATACAATCAATTTGTCAACCACATTTTGATTTTTTTTCACAGAAACCGAAGTACACGCTCTAATAGGATGACCTCCTATCTATAAAATTCAAACTCATATATTTTTTTTCCGGCGAGAGATATTTAAAAATGACCGACTGATAAATTATTGGTGATAATATGATACTCATTTTGTTAGTTGACCACCTTTTGATATCTTTTACAGAAATTGTGATAATTGAACACAAAATTGACGGTTTGGATGGATTTTTTTTAGAAGAAGTATGGTAATTTTACCAAATTTATCTCAGTTTGTTTCACATATTTTAGAAATCTGTTCACTGACAAAAGAATTGTGATGTTATGATAAACGTTTTGTCAGTTGACCACTTTTTGATAATTCATAAAGGAAATGAGAAATAGGAGCTTAAATTTGACTGTCTGGGTGCGCTTAATATTAGCGTGTAAACGATAACTTGTGTTTGACACATCGCGTCTTAGTTCTTTCAAACCTTGGCTTACTTTTCACTGGGTACTCTCGTTCAACTACGGTTTCACGAGCTCTTGGTATCCTATAATTGACTTCCTCGCGTTTTGGTTCGGTAAGCACATCACGATAGGTGTGAACCGTGTCATAATCCGGTTCGCGGAACGTGTTTCTATTTTTCGAGTAATATCGGTGACCGTCAATTGATGGTGACGGTGGCGGTGGATTATCATCAAAGTGCGTCGTTTTCTGCGAATAATAACCAGTCATCATCAGCGGTTCTTTTCAAATGTAGCATCAGTCACTCTCTGTCTTTTTACTCACCACATCCGTCACAGATAATAATTGTCCACCAGTTGTGAATCGTTCCATTCGTTTTCGAGTAATTGTGTGCCTTTGTTCTTCGCGGTTTGGAACCAGCATCGGAGGGAGAAATGCATCGAAATTCATGGTTTTGCGTTTTGGGAACCTCAACGTTTACGTACTAATACAATTCAACAAGAATTGAATAAATTTAAATTTATAAAACTGGAATTCCAAGACTCCTCGTTTCTAAAAAGCCTAGAACATTCCAGAACTGTAAAATTGTGCAACGAAATGGAAGAAAGTCGAAAAGATGGAAAATGGAAAACTGATGGCACGACTATTCAAACACGCAAGCATCATTTCATTTTTGACGCTGACGCCTACTTTTCCATTGAAATTCTTTCCTGGAAATTTCATAAAAATGCGTCACCAGGTGACATTTTATTTCTCGCTCTGTTTACCTTGCAAACACGTTCCAATCTGTTTTATAATTGGAGAAAAAAAAAATCATAATACTGGAATTTTCAGAGGAATTATGAATAGAGGGAGGAAGAGTTGGAAATTAAAGAGTTAAAGGAGGGTAGACATCAAAAATTTCAAAATTTTCATTTTTACTCAAAAGATATAACTCAGAAGTATAAATATAGCTATGTACTTAAAAACCTGAAAAAAACACTTCAAGGACGAAAAAATGCTCTTTTTTGTCACCCTAATTTCTTCACTAGCTTGCTGCTGCGGCGTCGCTTCATAATGTGAAAAACGCGATGGTCGCCTCTTACACGCGTAGTGTAGTGGGTACGCTCTAGGCTAGTATTCAGGAGGTCAGAGGTTCAATCCCTGCTGGTGTTTTCACTTTTTTCTTCCCTTGTTTCCTTCGGATTGAACTTTTTGAACTCGGAATTTCTGAAGGGCTACCAGCGTGCCGCCGAGGCCTCGCTCCGAGGTACCAAAATCAGTTGAAAATGAAGAAACTTGTTTTATTATGTTAACAAATAAATTATGAAAAAAACTACAATTAATTTTTAGAAAGAGACATAACAATTGAAAAAAAACCACATAATTAAAAAAATCCTCGTGCAGGGCTGGTCGTCGGAAGGTGAAGGAAGCAGTAAAAATGGAGACGTCTCTGAAAACCCTAGTCATAAAACAGTTTTTATTCCTAGAATAATAACGAGAAGTAATGAGATAAATAGGAACAGTGAAGAAACGGTTATCGAAGAGAAAATAGTTTTTTTCGCATGCCTATAAAAAACACCGGCGACTGGCAAAATAATCAATCGATAGAACTTTAAATTTACATAAAAAATTCACTTTTACATGGGTTTTATAATAAATAAGAAAAAAGAGCTTTTTTAATGTTTGAAGTCGTTAAAAATTGAAAAAAATAAAGTCGGGAAATAAAAAAATAAAAATGTTTGCGCGTGGGATTGCGTGCTTTAGGTGCGAACACCGCGACGGCAAAATACACATTCCCTGAAATTTTCCCCGAAATTTTTGCTGTCTGCCCTCCTTTAAATATTCAGATGGTTTTGAATATTGAAACAAGAGACACACATTTATTTGCAAAAACATACCGTAAAATCTGTAATAGACGAGATGTAATAGACGGCTTTTATCTTTGAACCAATGTATCTCGGTTCCTGAATTCATAATTTGTTACTATAATATCACACAAATTTTAACAACTACGCATTTTTGATAACTTGCACAGGAGTTGAGAGAAATCAACTCAAACTTGACATTGTGGCGGCTCGAGGATAGTAAGAATTGCGTTTTTTTTTTTTCATTTAGAGTGAGTCAATTGTCGTTTAGTGTCTATGTAACAAAGACAATAATATGAATTGCTAGTAACAATATTGCCAACAAAGTTCTGTCCGAAAGTAGCCACAATGTTTTGAAATATGGAGGTTACTTTATTAGAATCAATCATGAGAACTCCGTTGAGTTCTTGACAAGTTTCTGTAACTGACAATGAAATAGTTCTTTCTAATTAAATAAATTTTTTGTGTTTTGAATTCCAGGAGAAAATATAATTTTCTAAAACTTTTTCTATTTTCCGAAAATATCTGGCATAATATCGCAAAAAAGTTTATAGTTGACAGGTTTTCAATATCTCTCAAATAAACCGAAATATTTGAACTCGAAGAACATGTATAGGATGGCGTTCTAAAGTATGCGGCATAAGGATTGGACCCCCATCAATGAGTGTTTGGCACAAACCAAAACGGAAAACACAATTTCAAAAACTCATATGAATTCAACATGTCTAAGGCCCTGTGATCACCAATTTTGAAACTTGTAAGGCTCTAAATACACTTTCAAAGCCGCATTGAAATATAGGTTTCTGAAAATGATCGAAACGTCTAGAACGAAATTTTTTCCATATTGAATGTATCTATTTTTGACAATTTTTAACCGTAAATTTTGATATTTTTTCTTAAAAACTTCATGACACGTTCTAAAAAGTAAATTTTGAGCTTTAAACATGGCTCAATCGATTTAAAAGGTTAGATATTTTAAAATGCTCAGTTTTACCGATTTTCGAAAAAAAAAGTTGTTTCTAACAAGGGAAGTACCCGAAGTGTCCCCTCGTTTTTTCTTAGATATTGGTAGCAAAAAATGCCCCTCCCATGGACTAGCACAAAACAGATAATATAAGCTGCCTATGCGCAGGTACATCAGAATGACAAAACTTTTTGTGTTTTTTCAGAAAAAGTGGTTCATCTCTATTCAAGAAATCATAACTTTGTACAGAGGAAAGGTAAATATTTGAGCTAACATGTATCTTAGATAACAGATTACAGACTTCAAAAAACTCAATTACACCTTTGTTCAATCTTTGCAAAGAAATTTATTATGATGGGAAATGTCCGAATGGTCCAATACTGTGAAATCAAAAAATGTCAATTTTCGGAAAAACGTCTTCGGGACTATGTCTATTCAATTCCTTTTATGTCATAATGCACAACTAAGGTCTCAAATATATAGCTCACCGTTCATTTAAGAAAGATTTTTGAAAAAATAATAATTTTAAACTCAATTCCATGTACCCCTATACAAAAGATAGTCGTATTTTCATAACGCACATGGTACCTGTACTTCAAAGTCGATTAACTCGATTTCTATGAAAGATATCAAAAATTTATCAACTGATAAGATGCTTGTTATTCTGTCACTAACACTCTCAAAGTTGGTAAGTTTACGATATCTATCACAAAAAATTAGATAATTGAGCTTCAAGTATTTTGGAAAACGGTTTATTAGTGCATCTATGGTAATTATGAGTCACCTGCAAATTTTCAGATTTTTTCATGTTTTCTCTGTTACAGATTCTGGATTAACTGTTCATTGAGAGAGTAATACTGTAATTTCGGAAAAAAATAAGATGATCACGGTAATCAAACGAGATAGTCGGGTTTGTGGGTTTTATCATAGCAAAATAATCACGGTGTCTCGGGGGATTATCAGTAGTGCTTTGGGTATTGGATAATCAAAAATTTGGAGAAAGGGTTGTAAAACAGATGAGTTAATCACATTGAATAGCATCGGGGATGAGGAATAGCTATGCGAAGGTTACGGATAGGGGACGTCTTCTTGAACCATCACGCCGAAACAAAGAAGTGCGTCAAATCCGAGGTTATGCCAAAAGCTGCACGTCGTCTCCAATCACAGAATTTTCATCACATCAGTTTTTTCAGTGTTCTTATTGGTTATTAACGCAGGAGATTGGATTCTGAAAGTTGCATGGTTAAGTTTGTTTTGTTGCATTTCTGAGAAACTCACAATATGAGGTATAAACTAGTAGTTGATTATCATGGTTGAAGAAACGGATTAGGAACCCATGAAGTTTGAAGAAAAACTCGAGCTCTCACATCGTATCTTCTGAAAAAAGCAGCATTGAATGACTAAACAGAAAATTGACACAGAAGGCGAAAGAGAGTGAGCAATGTGTGCGCTAAACGTTGGAATGCTTGATGAGGTGCCCCGAAGAGTTGTCCCACACACTCTTAATGACATCGAGAATGCCTCGACGGACTTTTTTATTATAGGAAATGGAAAAAAAAACCCCGCAAAAGGGAATAGGAATCGAGGGAAAAAAGAAGATAGGGGAATTGGGAATCGGAGGAGAAGAAGAAGAAGAACAAAAACGTCTTGAAAAGGAGAACAGAAAAGCGGGAAGAAGACGGCGTCGTCGACAGAGAAGAGTAGAAGCCGCAAGAATTTTTGGAGGATGGGGTGGAAATAAAAAAGAAGAAGAAGAAGGAGACGCTGTGGAGTGATGGACACTTGCCGAAATTGAAAATTCTAGAAAAGATCTTTTCATTTCGATGGGAAAAAATGAAGGAAAGCATCAGATGGTTGAGTAAAAAATATAGGAATTATTTATGAAGTTTGGAGTAAATGGGGATTTCGAAGACTCTTAAATAGCGCCTGATTTTCAGAGCAGAACCTACAGTACACCTTGCCCATAGCATAAGCTAGCAAGTTCGCATAAAGGGAAATACTTTCAAATAATACTGAAGAAAAAATTCTACTCCCGCCGAATCAAGAAGTAGGGATGAAAGATGAAACTAGGAGGGGTCCACTTTCTCCTACGCAATGCCCTATACGGATTTTGTTTCAACAAATTTTGAGATATTTGACTAGAGAAAAGAGCAACTACAGTACCGCCAGCAACTACTGTACCGCTGTAAGAAGCACCTACTTTTTCCGTTTTTGTACTGGTCAATAAGATATCCAAAAATGAATTTTTATTTGATTTTAGTTCATTTTCAGAAATCTGGAGCTTGGCTGTCGAGTTTTGATCATTTTTAAAATGTTGGAAAATGCAGAACAGATCTAGATTAAAAACTTTGCATTCATAGGATTTTCGGATGTTCCTAGTTTCTCAGCTATTTGCCGATTTTTGGAAAGCACCCATTTTTTTGCCTGTTTTTGCACTGAATACGTGAAAAAGCGAGTTTCTTTTAGAAATTTGAAATAAGCTGAAAAACTAGAATTTTTCAAAAAAATCTGTGAATGCATAGTTTTCTATATAGGTGTGGTTGAAAATGGTCAAAAATAAACTGAAAAATTAATTTTTGTTCATCTTATTGACCTTTACTGTAGCTTATTTCTTATAAAAGATATCGCAAAGTGGACCACTGACATCTTATTGACTAGTACTGTATAACTTGGAAAAGATGCTAAAATAGAACGCTTACCGCTGTTTTTCTTATATGAGATTCTAGCTGTCTTTTGTTTTCCAAATTCCTAAAGCAATTTTGAATTGCCATTGTTAGAAGAAGAAAAAAAAGAAGAGAGAAAAAAAAGCAACATTGGCAAGAAAAAACGGAGAAGAATCAGGGAATGTGTGGTTGTTTGCGCACATGCGTCAAGAAAGGAGGAGGCTTGCAAAAGATGGAAAGACGATGGAGAAGAAAAACGGAGTAAGCAGAGGACCATGAAAAATTGCTTCGTTGTGGGGGGGGGGGGGTCTGTCCCACTCACAAAAACGCTGAAAAATGGGATTGCATGGAAAACAGAAAGAGATTCAGAGAAACGGTCCGACGGACCCACGGGGTGGCGAGCATGAAAAGAAAAGAGAAACGAAGAAGAAAAAGAGCCCCATCCATCCGTTAGTTGTTGTTGTGCTGCGTTTTGTATCTTCTGTGTAAGAAGGGAGGAAGAGGGGATGGGTATGGTGGGGTGGGGTGCGAAGAGAAGAGACGACAACAAAAAGAGATGGGTTACTACTACTCGCTCTTTCAACGGCTGGACACAAGGAAAGACCTCCCAAACGGCAGCCCGAGTGTGGCAGATGGTGACGATGTGTGTGGAACAGCTGCTCTCAACGGCTTTTTGTGTACTCGGGTTGTGCCGTTAATGATGACTGTTCCGGTTTTTGCAAAATCGAGAAAGAAAGAGAAGATGAAAGAGATAGCCATTGAGCCAGGAGACATTTGGTGGGTGACGACAGCTGACGGGTTGAAAAATGTTGAAAGCATATAGTTATATATGTCATAGTAACAAATGCCCGGAACCTAGCTCAGAAAATAACAGATTCGAAAAACAAGGTGGTCCGACGAGGTGGAACGGAAGCTGCAGAAGATTCTTTAATATACCGTAACCCATAGGTTCGAGATCTTATGAGAAATAATCAATGTTATTATATTCGCATGGAGGCCAATAAATTATAGTTCTCTCAGAGTCTCTAAATTTACCTCAAAAGGCCCCCATACTGTCAAATTTGAACTCAATTCTCTTGATTCCTATGCAAGGTATTAAAATGACAAAACTGTCAAAATATCACTGTTATTATGATGAACAACTTATCAGTTGACAATTTTTTCGTATCTTTGACCGGAACCGAAAAAAAACTGGCTCAAAGATAAAGGTTAGAAGACCCTCCTATTACAGGTTTTGCGGAAATAATAAAAGTCAACAAAAGTCATCATTAGTTTATTAGAATCAGGTTAACAAAAACCTGAACCGCCAACGAGCATTCAAAAACTAATCTTCTACAGATTCAAAGGCTCCTTTTTTGACAAAAAGCATATGACAATTCCTACTCACTCCTCACGAGGACATTTTTCCATGAATCGATAATCTGATGTGATACTCCAGAAAATTTCGGAAAGCGCTACTACTTCTTCACCAGATCAACTTATTGACGACGTAAATGACATCTAGCTAACGCTCACAACCTATGACATGAAATCGGCACTACGTATTCAAAGTATTCAAAGACAACCTCAATTATATCACAAAAAGCAGATTTGAGTTTTCAAAGACAAAACCATGAGAAATGAGAAATACAAGGGAAGAAAGCAAACGTACAAAGTTTTGTTCGTATTTGTCTTCTATGCACACACGAATCTCATGACTAATTTTGGTGTGTTGGCGCCAGAGCGTCAACTGATGGTGCTTGGTACGTATGCAAGCTACCACAACTTGCCCCACGACTGCAAGTTGAGAAGAAGTTATGAACAACCAAAAGATAATTTACCAAATACTGTAAACACGCTAATAGAAAGCCTATTCACATTTGTATTTTGAGCTCAATTAACTTAATTTCGAAAAGAAATATTGAAATTCTGTCAACTGATAAAGTATTTGTTATGATATCGCCATCTTTCTATAGTTGATCAACTTTATATATTTAGTATAGGAGCCAGGATAATTGTGCTCAAAAGATAGGGAGATCTTCAGTCAGGGGAACGGTAAGTCAAAATATCTTAAAAAGCGTCAGTGAACAAGAGTAAAAAGCAGTTTAATGTTTCTAAAATCAGGTTGAAAATGTGAGGAACATCTGAAACCCCAAAATCATTCAAAACTGAAATTCTCCAGATTTAAATGCTTTTTTAGACGATTGGATCGCGAGACTACTCCTACTCACTTCTCGCGAGAATCGCGTTCTAAGAAACGTTAATCTAATCTGATACACGAGAAAATGTCTGAAAAGAGTATTACTTTTTACTGGATTAACCTCATGAGGCTAATTCAGAAAGAAAAAATCCTTGTCAATGACGTGACAACATGCGACAATGTCCTATGGATCCTCAGAAATTGAGTATTCAAAAAAATTGTAAAACGACGGCCAGTAGACCGGCAGATCTGATATCATCGCCACTGTGGTGGAATTCTAATTTCAGCCTGTTTTCAGCCATTTTCGACATAAAAATACGTTTTTTCGCATTATTTTCGGCTCAAAACCCATGCGTTGCGGTCGCGTCGCGGTTGGGTAGATCAAAAACTAGAATTGAGCTAGAATAGTCGTGTTTGGGCTCATTTTGAAGCACACAACGAAAGAAACACAAAAATTAGAGTTTCAAACACTTTAGTTTCATAGAATCGTTGAAAATTGGAGGTTTCACAAAATTTGAAATTTTTGAAACGCCCAGAAATTAGTTAAATTTCAATCGCAACGTTCGTTTCGAAAGTGATATATCTCGATTCAGCTCGTTGAGAGCTTCAAAATGAGCCCAAACACGACTATTCTAGCTCAATTCTAGTTTTTGATCTACCCAACCGCGACGCGACCGCAACGCATGGGTTTTGAGCCGAAAATAATGCGAAAAAACGTATTTTTATGTCGAAAATGGCTGAAAACAGGCTGAAATTATCGATTTTCCGGGATTTTCGAGCCTAAAATTACTCAAATTGTCGCATTTCTTCAGATTTTGGGATTTTTTGAGCTGAAATTATTTTTTTTAAAGGATAAAAAACCGCCTAAACTTGGCTGAAAATGTCTATTTTTCCGTTTTTTTTCTATCAAAAATCGCTTGAAAAGCTGCGAATTTTCGGCTCAAATATGGCTGAAAATCACAATTTTTTGTCAATTTTTCGCAAATTTTTAGCTAGAAAAATACCAAAAATGCTGTATTTCAGAAATTTTTTGGGGGATTTTTGATCTGAAATTTGGCTGAAAACGCTCTGAAAATGTGAAATTTACTATCAAAAACATCGATTTCTGGAAAAATCGATACATCATTCAAAGCAAAATGTCAGAATTTCAGGTCATTTTCAGCCAAAATAGCAATTTCCCGCGCTTTTTTTTTGCGATTTTTAACCCTAGAATCGGTATTTTCATAGCAAAATTTCAGATTTTTCGGCTATTTTCAGCTTTTTTTTTCTTCAATTTAAGATCAAAAACTTTTTTCAGCCTTTTTAGGAGTTTGCGAGCTGAAATTCTGGATTTTCTGTACGAATTTTTTGGTATTAGCCTGAAAAATGAAGATTTTCAGTGAAAATTCTGGCGAAAATTCAAGACAAAATGACGAATTTCAGCATTTAGAAGTCAAAAAACGCACGAAAATTGGATGAAAAATTGATTATTTTTCAGGTCTAAAATGGCTTTTTAAGCTGAAAATGATCGATTTTTCCGGTATTTTCAGTCGTTTTGGCTTGAAAAATATACAGATTTCTCGTAACTTTTTGTTGAAAATAAGGCGAAAAATTGGGGAATTTTAAGCCTCAGATTGGTCTGAATGGCTAGTTTTTCAGTGATTTCTCTTCAAAAATACGGGATTTTCGCCATTTTTTCACGAAAAAAAAATGACAAATTGAGCTGATAAAGTGGAAAAAAAAATCACTGAGAAATTTAAATTTTCGGCCGCAAAAAATGCCAAAAAAACGCGAATTTTTCAGACATTTTTCCAGAATTTCAACTCTTTTTTTTTTATTTTTTTTATGTGAACTTCTGCTGAAAATGGTCATTTTCAGCCAATTTGGATCGTCTAGAATCGTCTGAAATGCGCCAAAACGGCAATTTTCAGCGCTTTTTTTCTTCAATTTCAGCATAGAAAACTGACATCCGAGTGTTTTCCATCGCAAAGTGGTCGAGAATCGGTCTGTTTGCATCCGCACATTGAGTAGTCGCCGGTTTTTTCGACCTGAAACGGAAAAATTAGGTTTTTGAGGGAAAAAAACGCTGAAAATCAGCCTATTTAGGATTGAAAAAGCCGAAAACTGCTGAAAATCGGCTTGAAATTACCTGAAAACTGACTGGACGAACGTTGGTGAGCCCTGGCACTTTGTGGGTTCCATCGCAGAATGGCTGGAAATAATTAGGGGTAATTAGGAGTAATTAGCGGTTCTTGAGCTCAAAAAACAATAGCTGAAAAACTCAATTTTCAGGTATTTTGGGTCGAAATTTCGGGATTTTTCTCGAAAAATATGATTTTAAGGTCCGAAAACCTCGAAAATGCATTTTTTAGGTCTAAAAATGTCAGAAAATGCACTTTTCAGAGCGAGTTTCAGGTTAAAAATCGCTCAAAAAGTGCATTTTTCGGGCCAAAAAATCTTAAAAATTGCAATTTTTAGCTCGAAATTAGTCAAAAAATTCCCTTTTTATGTCGAAAATTTTCGAAAATCACAATTTTTTGGTCGAAAAATCTTCAAAAAGTGCATTTTTAGGTCTAAAAATGTCAGAAATTGCATTTTTCAGGTGGAAAATTATTTCAAAAATAGAGATTTATACCGAAAATTCCCGAAAAAATACATTTTTCAGGCCGAAAAACCTCAAAAAATCACAATTTTTAGCTCAAAATCACTCGAAAATCCCGATTTTTCGATTAAAATGCATATATCTCACCTGCTTAACACTCAAACCACACGAACACCAATGATAGGTCTTTCCGGCCTCCAAACGGACGCGTCTCGATTTGGCTTCCGCTGGTTTCCCCTTGAATGGAAGAACGTCGGCTGCGTAGCTCTGCACAATCACGCCACGAGCCTTTCCACGAGCCGCTGTGGTCTGAAATTGCGATTTTTGGGATTTTTTGGAATCTTTGAAGTCTTTTTTGTGATTTTTCAGCTGGAAATTCGGTTTTTTCCAGTTTAATCACACTAGAAACTGCGAAATTCGCTATTTTTCGATTTTTTCAGATTTCTATACGTTTCCTTGCTATTTTCAGCCTTTTTCCTGATTAAAATAAGCCTTTTCAGAGCATTTTTGAGTTTTTAAGCTCCAGAATTGAAATTTTTGAAAATCAAAATTTTTTTCGATTTTTTGAGCTTTAAAGCAAATGTTGGGGCCTCAAATAGCGATTTTCGTAATTTCAGAGCTGAGAATTGACTTGTTTCAATAGAAAACTCGGGGGTTTTCCAGCAAATTAATAATTTTTTTTGAAAATTTTCGGGAAATTGAATTTTTCGAGTTATAGGTCAATTTTGACTCATTTTTCAACTTGATTTTCGTTTTTAACAGATTTTCCTTAATATTTCCATCATTTACATGTACAAAACCTACAATTGGAGTGGCTGCTTGAAGCTTTTGCACTGCTCTTCCAAGCATGGTTCGAAATCGCCTGAAAAACCCCTGAAATTTTGAGATTTTCGGTCTCAAAACATAAAGAAAAACATGAAGATTAATGCTCACAAGAATTTTCTGCGAAATTTTAAGAAAAAACGGATGTAAACAAGCGAAAATTGGTGCTGAAAACGAGGCAGTGCGTTGAAAAAATCAGTGTAAAGCAAACGCGCTCCATGGAACTTGTCGGATTCTAGGCCGCGGCCACCAGAATTTTTCGCCATTTTCCATTTTTTAGTGGTCTTTGGGCTAGAAACCCCGATTTTCAGCTGTTTTCAGCCATGAAACTCAATGAAAATGTGAAAATCGTGGCGGAAAAGTGTGTGCTGGTCCCTTATGAGCCTTGCCATGTGGAAAAGTACCATAAATGGATGGAAGATGAGGAAATTCGAAGGTTAACCGGTTCGGAAAGATTATCGCTGGAAGAGGAATTCGAAATGCAAAAATCGTGGCGAGAAGACGATGATAAGCTCACTTTCATCGTTTTGAGCAGAGAAGAAGGCGAAGAGGTGAGAGGGAAATTCAAAAAAAATTGAAAGTATTCGAATTTTTGTCAAAACTCCGATTTTCAGCCTAAAAACTATACTTTCTAAGCTTTCAGGGTTGAAAATACTAAAAAAATCTAAAATTTTGGAGTCCGAAAACCCTAAAAACCATGTTTCATTCAAACATTTTCAAAAAATGTTTTTTTTCAAAAATTCCAAAAATTCAAATTTTCTCTTAAAATTTGAATTTTAGCCTAAAAATTTCAAATTTTCAGACGAATAGAATGCTGGGAGACGTGAATTTATTCATTTCGAAATCAGAGAATTTAGAAGAAGAAGAAGACGTTGGAGAGGTGGAGGTGATGATTGCGGAGCCACGTGGCAGAGGCAAAGGAATTGGCCAGGAAGCTGTTTCATTGATCATTTCATGGGCGTTTAAGGTGATTTTGGCTGAAAATTTGAAATTTCCAGCCAAAAAAGTTTTTTTTTTATGTTTTTTCGAAAATTTTGAATTTTCAGCTCAAATTTCCTAATTTTTAGCATTTTCAGAACCTCCAAATCGCTCGATTCTGTGTAAAAATCACTGAAGACAATGCTCCTTCGCTATCCCTCTTCGAGAAAAAATTGGGATTCAAACGGGTCAGCTACAGTAGTGCATTCAAGGAAATCACCATGGAATTGCCCGGAGAACGGCTGGAATCGCATTTTGGACGGTTTTTAGGCGAAAATTCGCAAATTTTGGAGCATAAATGATCTGTAAATTTTCGATTTTTTTTTGTTTTTTCTTGCGATTTTTGAATTTTTAGAATGAAATTTTTTTTTGTTTTTTATGGATTTTTTTCTTTGTTTCAATATAAAAAAGTGAAAAATTGTCTTAAATTTGCACAATTTTCGCTTCAAATATGCCAAAAATCAAGTTTCCTGAAAAAATGTTTCTAAACAATTTTTCAGCACTTTTCCCGCCAGTGATAATTATTTTTACGATTTTTCTGATTTAAAACAATTTTTAGATCAATTTTCGGCAATTTTCCATTCACTTTATCGCAGAAAAGTCTCTGAAATTCGAGCAAAAATTCCTGAATATTCCGAAATTAAAAAAACAACGACACTCCGGAATCCCGGTCATGCGCGCGTTGTTTACCGTAAATCCACCCGGGAGCCGTTTTGAATTTTTCAACGAATTTCAGACTTTCGACCGATTTCTAGCGATTTTTCCTGGGGTTTTTCGATGATTTTCACGCTTTACAGATGTCTTAAAGTCGTTTGAAGTGTAAAAATTAAAAAAAGTTTCTTTTTCAAAAATGTTGAATTTTCAGAATCTCCAAATCGCTCAATTCCGTGTAAAAATCACCGAGGACAATGGAATTGGCCGGAGAACGACTGGAATCGCATTTTGGACTATTTTTAGGCGAAAATTCGCAAATTTTTGAGTGTATGTGATCTGGAAATGTTTTTTTTTTGTTTTTTTGCGATTTTTGAATAATTTAAATAAAGTTTTTTGTACATTGAATATAAAATTGGTTGTCTTCATCTTTTCCGAAAAATGCAGAAAATCAAGTTTTCCGGAAAAAAATTGAAAAAAAAGAAATTCTTACGTGACCTTTAAACCAAGGCCTGCCACGTGTCCTGCTACGCTGACCGTGACGTGTATGGGACCGCCCATCAGCTTGAGAGGGTTCTCGAACCAGTCTGAAATCAGTCTGAAAAAAGTTCAGAAGTTATAGTTTCAAAACAAAGCTATATGACGACGATGAAATTTCGAAAGAGTGAGTTAGCTAAGAGACGCAGACATTCCACATGGCGCCGTGCAGTTATCGATTGGAATATCGATTGAAATATCGATTTTTTTTCCAGAAATCGTCTATCTTCTCTTGGTCCTCGGGTCCACCTATCTCTCTGACAAGCTCACTGCTGCTGCAAACCGCATCGTCTACCGTAAGAATCATCCAGATTCCTGAATTTTATAATTTTCTATCTGAAATTTCAGAAAGACAGCTCTCCCCATATCCAGACAATCCGCCGTTGGGTTCATCTTCAGGCAATCATGGTGAGGAAATATCCATTTTTTAATGAAGTTACCGTATACACTCTAATAGAAGGGCACCCTGACCGTCCACTTTGAGAGCATATATCTCGGTCCCTGTGAAACATATAAGATATAGTAGTTCAAAGTTAGAAGCTAAAAGTGTTTACGGTATATCGATTTTTAATAAAATGATATCGATTTTTATTGAATTTATATTGATTTCCAGATCTGGATGTGAAGCCAAACTCCAACTCCCCACAGTACCCTGACCACCATGCACTCTCTGACACGGATCCTCAACGCTCTCGGCGTAATTCCAATGGTTAGTAAAGTCCTCGAAAGTTTTGGAAAATTGAAATTTCTAGTTGAAAAAAACCTAAAATTCGTGAAAAACTGGTCCAAAATTGACTTAAAAGCATTTTGGAATAGCCCGGAAAACCCCCTAATATTGAGCACAAAATGCTCCAAGGGACGATTTTTTTTTCGATTTTTGGCTGGAAATTACCGATTTTCAGCTATAAAAGGGCTTTTTTGTACGATTTTTCAGTTAACAATAACCTAAAAATCATGAAAAACTGACCCATAAAACTGGCCCAAAGTGGTCTAAAATTGACTGTAAAATGCTGAAAATTTTAACCGTAAACACTCTAATAGAACGCCATACAGACCGTCCACTTTGAGCTTATAAATCTCGTTTCCTTTCAGAGATATCAAAAAGTTATCAACGGATAAAATGTTTATCATAACATCAGCAACATTTTATCCGTTGACAACTTTTTGATATCTCTTACAGAAGGAGAGATATAAGGGCTCAAGTTTGACGATTCGGGTGGCGTTCGGTAGTGATTCGGATAGTGTTTACGGTAACCTGAAAATCATGAAAAACTGGCCCAAAATTCTAAGAATCATTTTGAAATGGCCTAGAACAGTCTAAATCTAGCTTAAAATGCCCTGGAAAACCCCAAAATTGAGCTAAAAATGCGCCAAGGGACGATTTTTAGCTATAAATGAGCAATTTTTTGGTTCAAATTGTCAGTTAAGAATAACCTAAAAATCATGAAAAACTGACCCAAAATTTTCCAAAATTGAATCCTGAAAATGTCTTATTTTCTGAAAATTTGATGTTTTCTTTATTGCTTAAAATCATCCCAAAAGGCTCTTTTCAGCTTCAAATAGCATTTTGAGCTAATTTTCGGGGTTTCCAGGTGATCTCAAGCCGAATTTTGATGTTTCTGGGCTCTTTCTAGGATCCAAAATGTTCCGAAATTGAAAGTAAAGTTAATTTGGAAATTGAGAAAGTCTAGAAAATTAAAAATTAAGCTCGAAATGGTCAGAAAAAACCCAAAATTTGTCTCTAAATTCTCCCAATGACTTTTAAAAGTTTTGGCTGGAAATGAGCCTTTTTAAATGACTTCAAGCCATTCTCCATTTTCCAAACCTCAACATTTTTAGAAAAGAAAAGATTCTCAACATTTTTTTTGGAAAAGACATCTCAAAATTTTCAAATTTTCAGATGATTTTTCAAGATTTCCAGACCTTATAATCCTACTAAATAGTCCTATTTTCAGATTCCTTTGACACGTCCGTTGAACTCCTCCTGAAAGCATCCCGTGTCATCAATGGAATCGCCCTCCAACAAGGTCTCTCCACTGGAACCATCACTCCCGTCGTTCTTATTTCGGATCTTCTCAATCTGGAATCCGTAAACTCTATCAAATTAATCAATACTGACGATTTCCAACCATTGCTCAAGGATATCAAAGAACTTCCGCAAAAATTGGTTAGCGATGCTGAAATTGAAAAGATGGAGGAACGATTCTTGATCTACAGTGATGCGATTGATAGGACCAATGGAATGGAGAAAGGAGTCACGATTCCAGGAATTGATGTGTACTTCACTGCTGTCAAGAAGTTGTCGGAGTCCGTTCCTGACCTGGCTGCATCCAACTTAAAAGATTTGTTAGTAAATCTAATTGCTTTGAAGACGGACGAGAAGACAAAGGAGGTTTACACAAACAATCGGCTCTCCAATTTTCGAACCGCCATTGACACTATCAAGACTATGGCATCGACGCGTTTGGCTGTGGATAACGTCCTCAGATATCCCGTATCAGTTCTCGGACCGCTCTTCAATGTCAATGAAGTCCTCCAGAAGTTCGAAGACAATGATATGAAACTTGTTGTTAACCCCAAAGATACTCCCATCATGAAAAAAGTAGGATCCAACGTCAAAATTCTCGGAGACTTTTCGAAAGCTGTGAGTTCTCTTCAATCGAAAGTTCACACTCTTCATCAAGTTTTCACTGGTCGTCTGCATCAGAGTGGAAATCGCAAATTGAGTTGTACAGCTGGATTTGCCGATGGAGTTTTGGATCTTGGACTTGTTTCTAATGATTTGAAAGATGAATGGGTGAAGAAAGCAGTCGATGGACAATCAGATTCCATTGCCAAAGCCCTCGATCAACTTGGACCTCTTCAACTGAACACTCAGGCTGCAGCAAGATCTCTCCGATTGGCTGATGGTGACAAATCTGCTTTGGAGAGTCTTACCAACCTTGTCGCTTCTGTTCCTCAAGCCGACGGTTCATTAAACGATCTATCCTCATCGATCGAAAAGTTCTTCATCACGAAATCAATCTCGGATATGAGCCCAACCAATATGCAGGAGTTTCAAACAATTTTCAACTATATCAAAGTCTTGCCGGAACATTTGGACGCCATCAAGCAAGCGAACAAAATTGCTTCAGCTGTAGCCAAGGACGAAGCCGGAGACCTTTCGGATATTCTTGGAATCATCAAGGATTCATCAGGAGCAACTGCATTTGAGCAATTGGACAATCTTCGGAAATCAGCTGCATTCGAAAATCTGAGGAACTCGCTCGAAAGTGGTGCCAAATCCTATGAAGTGTTGACGAAAAAAGATGGAAATGGGAAAGCTCCGAAATCGGTGATCGATATGGCTAAGGAGATCGACACGAAAAAGGCGGTAATTCAAAAGTATACTGATGGATTAATCCCATTTCTGCAAGAAATTGATAAGTTGAGAAAGCTGCCAGGATCCAAAAGCCTTGGAGCAGCAATCAGAGCAATTCAAGAGCATCGGAAGTCGGTTGTAAGTGTGCCAGATGTCCAACAGATTTCCGGATGGGTCAAAACAGCCAAGACCACTCTCTCCTCACTTGAGAATTCAGTCAAGGAAATGGGAGGAATGAAGAGTATCGAGAAGGACGCGTTGGCATCCACAAACAAAATTCTCAAAGATTCACAAACTATCGGATCGTCGGCTCGAGTGTTTCGTGGCATGAAAATGATTTTGGAGACGAGTCTCGATTTGGATGATGTCCAGATGGAGAAGGTCAGGAAGTACGTGATTGGAGTCTCGGATCCAAAAGATAGAAAGAACTTGGAAGATTTGATGGCGCTGGATCAGAAGATCAACACACTGAAACAAGAAGTCAACCAGGTCAGATCTTCTATCAAGCCTCCAAAGTCTCCTGATTTCATTTCTCTCAACGAAGTCATCCAAACTGCAAAAGGATTATCTGGTATTCCAATGGACTTCTTTGCAATTGGTAAATCTGTGGAAAAGATGTCGGAGCAGCTCAAGGACCGGGATCTTCTGAAAATCAAAAAAGTTCTCGATCAGCTGGATACATTTGGCTTGGATTTCGCTCGTCACAAGACCGCAATTGGTGCATCGAAGGCTGCTCTCGGCAACGTCGATCTACTTTTTGTTGCTTACGGAAAAGCTATGCACAAACCGAGCAAAAAGTCCGATGATAAGTGAGTGTTGTTTTGCAGTTTTTGTAGTTTGGAAGTTTCGAAATTTATTTTTCAGAAAAGTGCTCTACATCAGTTTGGGAGCTACTGCTGGTTTCCTCATCATTGCAACCCTGACCGTGACCTTGATTTGGTGGCGTTGTCCAATTGGTTGTTGTCGCACAAAAGTAATACATCACTACGACACCACCGTGTTGCCACCTGTTAAACCCGTAATTGACGAAGAACCTGCTCCAACTCCTGATCTCGGTGGATCTGCTCCTGTTAAATCCGGTCCACCAGTTCCACCTGTACATGAATCGCCTGCACCTGAGCGTGAAGAAGAGCCCACTCAGCAAGGTAGGCGAACTTCAGACATAGAAATACAATACTGTAACAATTCCCTTCTTTCAGAACATCCTGTCGCAAATATCACTCCTAGCCAAGAAGAAGCAGTTTTCTTTTCTGTGAATAACTGTGCCGCCCGTTACCGTACTTTGCTACTAGAGAAATTTTTGGGCAGTTTGTCGCCAGTCGAATACTGGCTTCTTTTCGTGGACACCAGATTCAAAACGGATTTGGAGAATTTGCCCGCGACGTCGAAGGAAGTCCATGCGATGCGAGCATGGCAAAGGTACGGTTTATGGAACAGTTGGAAAGTTTGATTTTTTCCGATTTTCAGAAAGAATGTTTCACTGGGTCTCAACGGAATGTTCTCGGATAAAGACTGGCCGTTGTTCGCAAAAGGATGGATTCATGCGAACATGATTACCTATTCGAATGGGTTCAGAATCGTTCTGTCACAAGCACCACAGACTGAAAACAGCACCAGAAAGTGTAACATTGGTCACTTTTGGTCGGCAGTCCGCTCCCGAGGATCCAATATGGTCGTTTGTTTGACCAAGTTCATGGAAGGTTCGTTTAACTTTAAGCCGTTTTATTTCGGTTCCTTTAAAAGATATCAAAAAAAGTTCAATTGATGAATTAGTCATCATGAAATGAGCAACATTTTATCAGTTGGCCACTTTTTGACATCTCCTATAGGAGCCGAGATAAATCAAGTCAAAGTTTCTCGCCGCCTGAGCTGTGCGGTTGGCTGCGGATATCTGAATTTTGAGGCCATGTATCTCGGTTCCTTTAACAGATATTAAAAAAGTTGTCAATTAAAAAACTATTGGGGATATTATGATAAATAATCTATCAGTTGACACATTTTTGATAACTTTTGAAGGGACCGAGATAAATTGACTCAAATTTAGACGGTCGGAAGCTGCAGCTCAGGCGGCGAGCAACTTTGAGCCCTTATATCTATTTTCCTATGATAGCGATCAAAAAGTAGTCAACTGATAAAATGTTTTTTATAACATCAATAATATTTTATCAGTTGACCTCTTTTTGATTTCTCTCATAGGAACTGAGATAATTGAGTTCAAATTGTACTTTATCCCAGGAGACGATGAGAAGTGCAGTCCATACTTTCCACTGACCCAAGGAACCACAGAAACGTATGCCAATGGAATAGTCACCATCACATGCATTTCTGTGACCACTTCTTTCGATGGAGAGCTGACGATTCGAGAGCTGAGAATCACAATTGGGTGAGGAATTAATTAGAATCTCAATTTCAAGCCAACAATTTTCAAATTTGCAGTAATGGTCAATCATTCACCGTGCGACACTTCCACTACACCGGATGGCCGGATTTCGAGATTCCGAGACGGACCGACGTCGTGCTGGCGATCTACCAAGAAATCATTGATCGCGGGAACACGCCATTCGTTCATTGCACAGCCGGACTCGGAAGAAGTGGAGTGTTGGCTCGTGAGTCATTCTTTTTTAGTTGATTACGTTCAATTTGAATTATTTCAGAACTGTTGGGCAACATGATTTCGTTCGAATCGAGAGGTTACCATCTCGAACAGACTGTAGTTCTGAACGAGATTCGTCATTTCCGTCCGGGAGCCGTCCAGACTCAAGCTCAACTGTGGTTTGCTGCCGTTCTCACCATTGAAGCTGTCCGCATAGTGAGTGATTTTGAGTTATTTTTGAAAATTTCACAACTCAAAGTTTGAGTCTCGAACAGTCTTGAAATTAAGAAAAGTTCACTGAAAACTGGTTTAAAAATGCCTAAAAACTACGAAAATTTGATTCTACTGTCAACTTTCAGCTCAATTATCTCAGATCTTTTATGAGATATCCAAAATCTGTTAACTGTGAAAATGTTTGTCATAAGATGAGCAATATTTTATCAGTTGACCGATTTTTGATATTTTTCAAAGGAGTCAAGATAATTGAGCTCAAAGATGACGGTCTGGAAACTACCCTTAATAAGAGCCCACCTAAACCTTTTTCTTAGAGCCCAATTATCTAAGCTGTTTGATGAGATACCCAAAATTTGTCAACTGATAAAAAACATCTCATCTCATGGGAAACATTTTATCAGTTGACGAATTTTTGATAACTTTCACAGGAGAAGAGATATAAGGGCTCGAAGTTGCTCGCCGCCTGAGCTGCAGCTTCCGACCGTTTAACTTTGAGTCAATTTATCTCGGTCCCTTCAAAAGTTATCAAAAATGTGTCAACTTATAAAATATTTTTCTTAACAAGAACAATATTTTATCAGTTGACAACTTTTTGATATCTTTCACGAGAATCGAGATAATTGAGCTCAAAGTTGCTCATGGCCTTTGCTCAAGGAGTTTCCAATTCCAATTTTCAGAGAGTTGGCGTCGCGATGACTGCAAAAGCTCTGAAGATCTACGGCAATCTTATCGTACCAGCGAAGGAGTATTTGGCGAAAGGAGTCACCGATGCGACATTCAAAGCCATCGACGCCAAATTGACATCGAAAAATCACATGACGGATAAGCAGAAGGCAGAAGAGATGGAGAAGAAATACAAGCAAACGGTCTTGGAGTTGAAAGCGGCCCAAACTCCACCTCCAGCCACACCATCTGCTTCTAGCTCTTCCAACGTGATGTCTCTAAGAGATAACAACGAAATGGACATCCAGAAGCTCGAGCAGGAAGTGGGTGGAATGCGAACGGCTACGTCTGATACCAATGTTGCCGGACCGTCGAGATTGAGTCTTGAAGCACCGATCAGTCAACAGAAGAGCAAACGATCCAAGACACCAGATACCAAGGAGAAGAAGAAGAAGGCCGGGAAGAAGAAGAAGGCAGCGGCCGCGGAGGCCGGAATGACAGTGGCCGAGTCTCTCGGGACTCAACCATCGGATACGAATGTCAGGAAGCTGTGAACATTTCGTATAACTCGATTTATGTGAATTATAAGATAGAATAAATTTTATTGTGGTGTTGATTAGATAGATTTCTAAAAAATCTCAAATTCAAAAGATTATAGACTGAATGAATTTCTTTTTTTAAAAATTGGTTTCCAATGAAAGTTTTTAGTAATTAAAACTACCGTATCTCAAGCTACAGTTATTTTAGGTACATGAAATTATTGCTATCAGACTTGGCTTGTCTAGAGTTTTCAAATGAGTATATTCATGTCTAGTTTTGAAGAAATTTTTGGATTACTGTAGTTTGATCTCAAAAATGAAATCTACCGTATCTCGAGTTACAGTAATCCCAAAAATATGAAACAATTACCAATCGACACAGCGTCACAAGGGCTTTCAAATGAGTATGATCATGCCTAGTTTTGGAACATTTTTTGGCTTACTGTAGTTGGAGCCCAAAAATTAAATCCACTGTATTTCGGGTTACAGTAATTCTAGAAAAATTACCATCATTCGTCTCAGCATGTTGCCAGCTTTCATATGAGTATGATCGTGCCTAGGTTTGCAAGACTTTTTGGATTAATGTAGTTTGCACGGTCCACTAAATCTATCGTATCTCGAGTTACTGCTATTCTACAAATGTGAAACTTGTATCAATCGACCCAGAGTGACAAGAGATTTCTAATGAATATAATCTTGACAGGTTTTGAAAAATTTTTTTTGGGTTACTGTAGTTTGCCCTTTCTACTAAATCCACCGTATCTCAAGTTACAGTAATTCTAGAAAAATTACCACTATTCGGCTCAGCTTGTTGTCAGCTTTCAAATGAGTATAATCATGAATAGACTTGGAAACATTTTTGGGTTACTGTAGTTTGACCCCAAAAATCAAATCCTCCGTATCTCGAGATACAGTAACCCTAGAATCATAAAACTAGTACCATTCGGCTCAGCTTATTGTCAGCTTCCAAATGAGTATGATCATGACTAGTTTTGAAGAACATTTCGGGTTACTGTAGTTCGATCCCAAAAAATAAATCCACTGCATCTCGGGTTACTAGTACCATTCAAATTCTTTAGAGCTTTCGTTTGAATATACTCTTGACATTATTTAAAAATTGTTGGATTACTGTATGTTGACTTCTCCACCAAAACTACCGTATCTAGGTCCACTGTATTATGCTTGTCTGAGAAACAAAAGGTTAGAGAGTATTTTTTGCAGTCTGAATACGGTAGCGATATAGAAGCGGAGAGCCTAAATAGCACACAAACGGTGGAGACGCAAACACATTTTCTCTGCGTCTCAACCTTTTTTTTCTCATAATAATCGAAGAATCATCAAATATTGAAATTTAAAAAAAAAGAAAAAAATACGGGCTTACTGTCAAAAAATGTTTTATTGGGAACATGAAATACAAACTGCAAATTCAAATAAAAAACCAATATATAAAATAAACCGTAGTCTTCAAATCATATACTGTAGGGCTACTGTAGGTAGAACTACAGTAATCTCAAAAAATCAATGCAAATGCAATTTCTCAGTGGGTGGTGGCGGTGCTCGACTCGACGCAGATGCTGTGGCGTCAAAAGTGGGCGGAGCCTGATTGATTTTGTGGCGACTACTGTACTTTCGAGTCAGCGCGACGATATTCGTGTAGGATGGTGTCGTTTTGAGTTTTCGAATGCAGACCATCGACGTTGTCACTATATTTCCACCGGCAATTGCTCCCAGCAGCAGTGAGAGAGCCCAAACCTGCAAAAAAGAGGCGGGGCTTAAAATTTTCAAAATTTTTGTGATAGTCTTGTACCTGCCACAATCCATCACACATTTCCGTGTTCACATACATGTACAGTTTGCCGGCCAGGAACAATTGGAAGAGCTGCAAATTTTGGAAAATTGTTCTCAAATTCGAAATCAGCGCATAAAATTGCTCTAGGCGGCGTTTTCTAGAACTTCCTAGCTCAATTTTGAAATTGCTGGGTTACGGTAGCGCCGAAAGTACGCAAACACCACGCCAAACACCGAATCCTACGACAATTAGAGCTAGAGCGCTGAAAATTGGTTTCCGGGGGGTAAACAGCTACGCAGAGTTCGATTTTGATACTTTTAACACTCTTAAGGCTCTCCTTGATCCCCTTTTTGAGCATGTAGATTCTCAAGATTCAGTCAGATCTGAAAACTAACATCAAATCTGGAATCAGTGTGAAAAATGGATCTAGACAGCGTTTTCCAGGACTTTCTAGCTCACTTTCAAGGTTTTTGGATTACGGTAGCGCCGAAAGTACGCAAACGCCACGCCAAACACCTAATCTTACGACAAATTGTGCTAGCGCGCTGAAAATAAGTGTCAATGGGTAATCAGCTACGAGGAGTTCGATTTTGATAGTTTCAAGACGATTACGGCTGTCCTAAATCCTTTTTTGAATTTTTAAGCCCTCAAGACATTGTCTGATTCGAAAACTATCATCAAATACGAAATCAGCGCAAAAAGTTATGCTAGACAGCGTTTTCTAGAACCTGCTAGCTCAATTTTGAGATTTCTGGGGTTACGGTAGCGCCAAAAGTACGCAAACACCAAGTGAAACACCTAATCTTACGACACTTTGTGCTAGCGCGCTGAAAATAAGTGTCAAGGGATAATCAGCTACGCAGAGTTCGATTTTCATAGTTTTAAAAGCTAAAAACTGCTTCATAAGCCCCCAAAACTCACATATCCAACGGTCAAAAAGGGCAAAAGGAAAGTGAGTCCTTTGAATTGCCACGAGGTGAATCCTTCGACAGTAATATCCATTTGATGTCCCTGTCCAAGGGAATGAAGGCGTCGAAGGCATCCAGATTGATATTGATTCTGAGCCAATTGAACGATGGAAATGTAGAAAGTGAAAACGAGGAAATACGGACGAAACTCCTGATAACAGAGACCATCTTTCCAAGTGAGCACTATTCCAGGGACGGCACACGAGAGATAATGGTGGGACAGCCACCATCCTTTGATTTTGGACCCATTTACACGAAGGACCGATTCTCGAATCGTCAGGGTACAGTAATACCAGACCATCAGAAAACAGAGCAACGAGTCCAGCACTCGGAACGGCCACATCCACGAGATGAACGCCAGGACGCAGATCAGAATTGTAATGTTCCATTTGAAGCCCTCGTATTCCTGGAAAAAATTATTTTTTTTTCGAAAAATTATTTTTTGGAGTTTTCAAAGTTCTTCGAATCTCAAAGTCAGCCTCGAATTTCCTCAAAACCAAGTTCAGATTCATAATCAGCGCTGAAAACTAGCCTAAAATGCGTTTTGTTCGAGATCCTAGCTCAATTTTTGAATTTTTACGAATTTCCAGGATTACTGTAGCTCCAAAAGTATGCAAACACCGAATAACAGCTAGAGGGCTTGAAAGAAGGCGCTAGAGCAAAGAAACTATGCGGAATTCTAATTTCGATTTGTAAACGTCTCAAAACGCGTGCGAAGTCAGCTATGGAGACGGATGTAAAATTATCTGGATTACTGTATCTCGAAAAGTACGCAAACACTTTAAATAGTGAGAATCTAACGCCAGAATCAGATCCAGCACTGAAAACTAGTCTAAAATCGCTTTTGTTAGAGTTCCTGTCTCAATTTTTGAATTTTTCTGAATTTCTGGGATTACTGTAGCCCCAAAAGTACGCAAACACCGAATAAAATCTATAGAGCTGAAACTTTGGTCTCGGGGTAAATTGATTGTTCTAGACTCGAATTTCGTATCGAAACCTCTTCAAAATGCGTGCGAAGGCCTCGATGTGTCCAATTTCCGAGTTACCGTAGCTCCAAAAGTACGCAAACACCGAATACCAGCTAGTGGGCTTGAAAGAAGGCTCTAGAACAAAGAAACTATGCGGAATTCGAATTTCACATTGAGAACTCAGCAAAATGCGTTGGAAATCAGTTATGCGGCCGGATGTCGAACTTTCCCGATTACTGCAGCAGCAAAAGTACGCGAAAACTCTGAAATATCGGAAATTCAATGCTAGAATCAGATTCAGCGCTAAAAACTAGCATGAAATCGTTCTTGTTAGAGCTCCTAACTCAATTTTTAAATTTTTCGAAAATTTTCAGGTTACTGTAGCTCCAAAAGTACGCAAACACCGAGTAAGAGCTATAGAGCTGAAAATTTGTTTATAGAGCAAACGAACGATGCTGAAATCGAATTTCACATCAAAAACTAGCTAGAAATTGTCCGAAGTCCAGTGGATAACATAAAATTTTGGAAAATTTCAGAATTTTTTGAAAATTTTCAAAATTTTGAGCTGCGATTTCTCAAATTTCCAAAATCGTACGCTAGAATCAGTATCACCGCTAGAAACTAACCTAGAATCGCTTTTGTTCGAGCTCCTAGCTCAGTTTTTGAATTTTCCAAAATTTTCGGGACTACTGTAGCTCCAAAAGTACGCAAACACCGAATGAGAGCTAGAGGGCTGAAAATTTGGTCCCAAGGTAAATCGATAGCGCTAAACTCGATTTTCCACTCAAAAACCCCAAATCTCACCTCCTTGTACTTGAATTTCTCAGTTTTCGTCAAAAGTGAAATATTGAGGTTCGATCCCAAAATCAGATTCAAATAAAATCCATTCGATTGGGCTGGCAGTTCTCCTTGCATGTCTCGTAGTCGAAGATTTGTCACTTCTTGTTCTTCACGAAGCTTTTTAAGATGAGCAATCAGTGCCGTTTTCTCCTCGCATGGTGCCAGCTTGTCAATCGCCATTTGGGTTCTGGAAAAACTAGAATTTTTAGGAAGTTTTTGTTATCAGATTCGAGTTCAGCGTCCTAAAATTACTGTTAATTCGAATTTTCGGGCTTCCAGCTCAAAGTGTCGTCAGATCTGGTGTTTGCGTATTTTACAAAGTCTCGTAATTATCAGAACCGAACTCCGCGTTGCTGATTACCCCTTGACACTAATTTTCCGCCCGCTAGCTCAAAGTGTCGTAAGATCTTGGGTTTCGCCTGGTGTTTGCGTACTTTCGGGGCTACCGTAACCCCAAAATCTCAAAATTGAGCTAGAGAGTTCTAGAAAAGTGTTTCTAGAACTATTTTTTGCGCTGATTTTAGATTCGATGTTAGTTTTTCAATCCAACGGGTCTTGACTATCTAAAACGTGAAAATGCACGAAATCTGGACGAAGGAATTTTTCTAGAAAATTCTTATTTCCAGGTTTGGATTTTACGTCCTCGATTTAGTCAGAATGCAGATTTTCAGCACTCTAGCTCAAATTGTCGTAAGGTTCAGTGTTTGGCTTGGTGTTTGCGTACTTCCGGCGCTACCGTAACCCCAAAATCTCAAAATTGAGCTAGAAGGTTCTAAAAAGTGTTTCTAGACCTATTTTTTGCGCCAATTCTGAATTTGATACTAGCTTTGAGATCCAGTTCAATCTTGATGATCTAAAATTCGAAAATGTTGTATATTCAGATGCAGAAAGCGTTTCAGCGAGGTTTATATGCCAGATTTGGATTTAACATCCCCGATTTACCCAAAATCCGAATTTTCAGCCCGCTAGCTCAAAGTGTCGTAAGATCTGGTGTTTGGTGTGGTGTTTGCATACTTTCGGGGTTACCGTAACCCCAATATCTCAAAATTGAGCTAGAGAGTTCTGAAAAAGTGTTTCTAGACCTATTTTTCGCGCTAATTCTGAATTTGATGTTAGTTTCCCGTTCCGAATATACCTTGATGATGCAAACATCGAAAATCATTAAAATCTAGGTGAATGAAGCTTTCTTAAAAAATTTAACTGCCAGATTTGGATTCTACATCCTCGATTTAGCCAAAATTCCAATTTTCAGCGCTCTAGCTCAAATTGTCGTAAGATTTGGTGTTTGGCATGGTGTTTGCGTACTTCCGGCGCTACCGTAACCCAAAACTCCCAAAATCACGCTAGAAAGTTCTAGAAAACTCTGTCTCGACCCATTTTTCGCGCTGATTTCGAATTTGACATCTATTTTTCTGGAAAACCTCTATAATTCCCAGAAAACTCACTGTTTCATGGTTTCTCGAAAATTCTTGAGCAGATAATTGTGATGTTTCATCGCCTTGCCAGCCGTATCTTGGAATTTGCTCACTTGTCGCGATTTTTGAATGTACTCGTCGTGGATTTTCTGGAATTTCAATTTCCAGATTTTTTCAGCACTTTCAGCCAAAAAATATTTTTTGCCAATTTCAAAAAATGTTCACCTCCAATTTCGGAAAATCCTCCTGGACCAGCTTCCACTCGTTATCCAACTTCTCTGTCGACACCATCTGAAATTTTTTTTTGTCTGAAAATCTGACACGAAAATCCGGAAAATATCAAATATCGATTTTCTCGAAAAATCAAAATTCAAAAAATTGTTTAAAAAATCATAAAAATGGTTCAATTTTATTGAAAATAGGTACATAGAAATGTGATTTTTCTGTGGAAAAAAAATGACACCGTATTTCGATAGGGGCGGGGCTTAAAAATTGAAAAATACTGAATTTTTTGACTGGAATACAGCACCATACATAGAATTATTAGGGGAAAAAAGTGGCAAAAATACAAAAAAAAACACAAGTATTGGGCGGGAAATTTGAAAAAATTCAAAAAAAAATTTTCTGTTGAAATTTTTTTTTGACTGAAAATCGAAAAATCTGAAATTTTTCAGAGAATTTCCTTGTTAAATTCGTAATCAGCGTCCCAAAAGCAGTCTAAATCCCAATTTTCAGCCCTCTAGCTCAAAGTGTCGTAAGATCTTGGGTTTCGCCTGGTGTTTGCGTACTTTGGGCGCTACCGTAACATCAGAAATCTCAAAATTATGTTAGAAGGGTCTAGAAAACGCCATCTAGACCCATTTTTCACGCTGATTCCGAATTTGGGATGGGTTTTTTGAAATTTTTCGAAATTTTTCAAAAATTTGGGGTTCTCAGGGAAAAAATCAATTATTCTAAAAATTCGAAAACTGAAAATTAGAGGAAAAAATCGGGGGTAAAAGATAACAACAAAAAATTAGAGAGTAAATAGAGCGAGAGACGACAGAGAAAAAAGTGGAAAAAAAAAACAAAAAATGGGGAAAAATTGGCGGGAGGGACACAATTTTGAAAATTTGAAAAAAGTTTTGTAGATCAAAAAAAAAAATTTTTTCAAAATTTCAAAATTAACTGATTTTCATATGTCAAAAATTCTCCAAAATGTCGCGAAAATTCGAATTTTCGAAAAAAAATTTTTTTTTGAAAATTCCAATTTTCAGCCATTTTCAGCCAATTTTTCTCGTCTAAATCGCCGTTTCTCGTTCAAATTTTGGTATCGTATTGATCGTCGCTCCAACACTCTTCACATCAGATCTTATCGATTTTCCATCGGTTTGATGTCCAAATTCCGATGAGCGGGCGCCGGTTAGTGGTCCTCCACCGTTCATTTGGATGTTTTCCTGAAATTTTCAAATTTTTGAGCTGGAATTTTTCAAAACTAGTGAAATGGTACTTAGAGTAAAGTAAACTATGCAGAATTAAATTTCGCATCGAGAACTCTTTAAAATGAGTGGGGAATCTGCTATGATACCGGATCTGAACATTCTCTGGATTACTGTAGCTCCAAAAGTCCGCAAACACTTCGAAATATCGAAAATCTACCACCGGAATCGAATTCAGCGCTAAAACTATACTAATATTCGTTACGTTGGAGCTCCTAGCTCAAAATTTTCAAAATTTCGAGAATTTTTGGATTACTGTAGCCCCAAAAGTACGCAAACACCGAATGCGAGCTAGAGAGCTGGAAAATAGCGCTTAGAGCAAGGAAACTATGCAGAATTCAAATTTCACATCGAAAACTTCTAAAAAAGCGTAGGAAATCCGCTATGGAGCTGGATATAAAATTTTTCTGGGTTACTGTAGCTCGAAAAAAACGCAAACGATTTGAGATATGTAAAATCTAATTCCAGAATCAGAATCAGCGATAGAAACTAGCCAAGAATCTCTTTTGTTAGAGCTCCTAGCTCAACTTTTGGATTTTTCAAAATTTTTTGGCTTACTGTAGCTTCAAAAGTACGCAAACACCGAATAAGAGCTAGAGGGCTTGAAAATGGAATTTAGAGTAAAGTAACAGTGCGGAATTCGAATTTCGCATTGAAAACTCTTTAAAATGCAAACGTAATAAGCTTTTAAGCTGGATACGTAACTTTTATGGATTACTGTATCTCGAAAAGTACGCAAACACTTTAATATTGAAAATTCAACTCCAGAATCAGATCCAGCACTGAAAACTAGTCTAAAATCGCTTTTGTTAGAGTTCCTGTCTCAATTTTTGAAATTTTTCAAACATTTCGGGATTACTGTAGCTCCAAAAGTACGCAAACACCGAATGAGAGCTAGATGGCTGGAAAGTGGGTCCCAAGGTGAAATAACTGCGCGGAATTCGAATTTCGCATTAAAAACTCCTCAAAATGCGTGGGAAATTCGCTATATGGGTTACTGTAGCTCAATTTCAGCCAATTTTTCACCTGTAAATCCCTCTGCGAGCTCGCGATTTCCACTTCCGGGGGTAATAACAATCGTCGTGCTTCCGGAATCTGCAACGGGAACTTCTCAGCCCTATGAATTGCTAGTGCGGGTCCCCATGCGTCGTCCGGATACAGTACTCTCCACCATTTCTGTGTTATTGATCCCTTGGCAATACAGAATTGCCAACTTCCAATAATTGGAATGAGCAATAGCGGGAGAGAGGCGATTCCTGGAAAAAATGGGGGGTCGAAATCTTAAGAATACTGCTAAAAAATCCCAAAAATGGCTCAAAAATTCAAAAAATCGGCCATTTTCAGCCAAAATTTCAGACAAAAATCTTACCCCATGCCGCTAGAATCGACCAATATGGGAATTGATATGATTCGTATTCTATTGAATTCCAATCCAGCCAGAGGAAACAAAGAATCGACAAATAGACCAGTGGACAGATGAATTTGAAGAGGATCTGAAATTGAAAAATTGAAACTACCGTGTCTCGAAATACAGTAATCCTAAAAAAATGAAATTAGTACCATTCGATTTGCCTTGTCAAGGGCTTTCAAATGAGTATAATCATGACAAGTTTTGGTAAACTTCTTGGGTTACTGTAGTTTCATCCCAAAAGTCAAAGCTACCGTATCTCGATTCACAGTAATCCTACTTATGTGAAGTTTGCACCAATCGATTTGTCTCATTTAGAGCTTTCAAATGAGTATGATCATGACCACTTTGCAGATCTTTTCGGGTTACTGTAGTTTGATCCAAAAAAAAAACAAAGACTACAGTAACCCAAAAAATTTTGCAGACTTAGGCATGATTATACTCATTTGAAAGCTGGTAACAAGCCAAGTCGATTGGTACAAATTTCAAATGTCGAGGGTTACTGTAGCTCGAGACACGGTAGCTTCTAGGTCTTTCCGGGGGAAAACTTACCTTCCAAAAGATATAACAAGGTGGCCAGTGTCCCACAATCCATTTCGCATTGTCCAACATATTATCGACACCGTAGATCCAGTTAATAGCCATACATTCCAAGAAGGCAATGACTACCAGAGGCCATGTGAGCACAAATTGAGTGAGCAGCTCCATCCAATACAATCCAGAAGACAAGCAAAAGGGAATTGAGAGACATATGAATAGGGCGCATACTGTAGTCAGTACGTGTCTTCTATTCCGACGGAGTCGTTCTGGATACTCGTCACAAAGAGAGGATACTATCGTTTCCACTACGAACATCTGGGTCGCATGGACCACCAGAAGAATCATTATGAAGAAGAGGCCAGCGTAGAGGGGAGCAACTGGGACACCTGGAAAAGGCCTTTTTTAGAAGGGTTACTGTAGATTTTGGAGAAAAAGCCATCAAATTCGAGCAAAACATTACCAAGAAAGGGCTCTAAACGCGCGAAAACGCTTTGAAATTCGAACATTTTGGGTTACTGTAGCTGAGAGTGATGAAATACTTAAAATCTAACGCTGGAATAGAAATCTGCTCCGAAAATTAGCCTAGAATCACTTTTGTTCGAGCTCCTAGCTCAATTTTTGAATTTTTCAGAATTTCTGGGATTACTGTAGCTCCAAAAGTACGCAAACACCGAATGAGAGCTAGAGGGCTGAAAAATGGTTCCTAGAGCTAAGCAGCTATGCTAAATCCGAAATTCGCATTGAAAACTTCTCAAAATGCACGAGACCTCCACTATGGGACAGAGTTTGAAACTTTTCCGGATTACTGTATTTCGAAAAGTACGTAAACCCTCCGGAGCATCGAAATATAATGCTGGAATCAGATTTAGCGCTAAAAACTACCTCTAAAATGCCCTGGCTCAATTTTTGAATTTTTCTGAATTTTCAGGTTACTGTAGCTCCAAAAGTACGCAAACACCAAAAAAGAGCTAGAGGGCTAAAAATATTGTCCCAAGGTAAATTGATAGTGCGAAATTCGATTTTAGGATCAAAAACTAGCTAGAAATTGTGCAAACTTTGAAAAATCTCGTAATTTTTCAGAAATTTTCAGATTTTCAGAAAATTTTCAGACAAAAATCTGCAATTCTTAAAATCTAACGCTAGAATCAGAATTAGCACAAAAAGCTAGCCTAGAATGTTTTTTGTTAGAGCTCCTAGCTCAATTTTCGAATTTTTCACAATTTCCGGGGTTACTGTAGCTCCAAAAGTACGCAAACACCGAATAAGAGCTAGAGGGCTGCAAAATTAGTTCTCGGGGCGAACAAACTATGCGAAATTCGATTTTAGCATCGAAAATTGGTCAAAATGAGCGAGAAAGGAGCTATGGAGGCCAGATGTGAGCATTTTCGGGGTTACTGTAGTTTGAAAAGTACGCAAACACTGAATGCGCGCTAGAGGGTAGAAACGTTGGTTCTAGGGTAAACCGATGCTCTCAATCTCAATTTTCCGGTCAAAATCGTCAGATTCTTCATTTTAACATCTGAAAAATCGTATTTTCGGGAATTAAAAAGGTTTTTAATCCACAAAGGATTACTGTACCTGCCAACGCTTCGGCTAAAAACACAAAAACCAAATGGAATCCGTCTCGAATGTGGAATTTATCCAAAGCGATCGCGAATTCGAAACAAGTGAATCCGATGGCAGAGAATGTTAGAATACATCCGATTAGTGATACGATCACGTCCACAATCAGCACAAGGCAGATATCTCTGAAAATATCGATTTAAAGCCACCGTACCTCGAGCTACAATGATCCTAGAATTATGAAACTAGTACCACTCAACTTGGTTATTTATGAGCTTTCAAATGAGTACGATCATGACTATGTTTCTTACATTTTTTTTGGGTTACTGTAGTTTGATCCTAATGATTAAATGTACTGTAACTTTGGCTACAGTAACCCTAGACAATTGAAATTCGTACCAATCGACTTCCCTTGTTATCAGCTTTCAAATAAGTATACTCATGACTAGTTTTGGAATATTTTTTGGATTACTGTAGTTTGATCCCAAAAATGAAATCTGTCGTATCTCGGGCTGCAGTACTCCGATCTTAATGAAATTAGTACCATTCAACTTGGTTCTTCATGAGCTTTCAAACGAGTATGATCATGGCTAGTTTTTTGAAATTTTTTGGGTTACTGTAGTTTGATCTCCTCGGCATATCTCGGGCTACAGTAATCCGAGAAAAGCAAGAGTAGGCTCATTTTGAAGCTCTCAACCGAACGAGTTCAGCTGTGTAGGTTTCAATCCACTCACTTGTACAAATGGTTATGAAATCTCGAATAACTGGCAATTGTGAATAATCCACCGGAACAACACGAAACCGAGTAGAATGCCTGGACGGCAGCCTCTCCCCAAACATGTAGATCTTTCAGTACCGCCCATTTTGGTGTTAGAAAATATAAAACCGCAGAAATCGATCCATCCAATGTTAGAAGACGTGTGAGGAGTACGGTAAGTATTATGAACGGGAATATCACCGAAATGTAGACTACCTGAAACAAAAAATTTCATTTTTAAGTGTCTAAAACTTGATAATACTGAAATTTGGAGCTAGAATCAGAATCAACGCAAAAAACTAGCTTGGAATCACTTTTGTTAGAGCTCCTAGCTCAATTTTTGAATTTTCAGAATTTTTGGGATTACTGTAGATCCAAAAGTACGCAAACACCGAATGGGAGCTATAGGGCTGGAAATTTGGTTTTATGGTAAACTGATAGTGCCAAACTCGAATTTCTTATTGAAAATGGCTGAAAATGCGTAAGAATTGAGTTATGGGACCGGAAATCAAACTTTTTATTGGGTTACTGTAGCTCGTATAACTCGAAAAGTACGCAAACACTGTGAAACACTGTGAATAATCACGAAAAACTAGCCTAGAATCACTTTTGTTAGAGCTCCTAGCTCAATTTTTAATTTTTCAGAATTTTTGGGATTACTGTAGCTCCAAAAGTACGCAAACACCGAATAAGAGCTAGAGGGCTGAAAAATGGTATTTAGAGTAAAGAAACTGTCGGGAATTCAAATTTCCCAGTGAAATCTAGTCAAAATGCCTGAGAAAAGAGCTATGGGGTCAGATGTCTGGGATTACTGTAGTTTGATGCATTCTAGGCCTGTTTTAGGCCATTTTTCATCGTTTTTCGACCATTTTCGGGTAATTTCGGTCCGTTTTTCTTGAATTTTCATTCAAATGTAAGCCATTTTCAGCCAATTTCTCACCTTTCCACTCGACTTAACCCCTTGAAACAGGCACAAAAACACAGCGATCCAGCAGACGAGAACACAAAGTCCCAGATACCAATTCAGTGTTCCAAAATCGTCGACTCCTTTTGATAACATCAATACGTCGTTACTGTAATTTTTGGGTTACTGTAGGTCCAAAAATCGCTAATTTTGAGCCATTTTTAGGCTTTTTTCGGCAAAATTTTAAAGATTTTTCAGCCATTTTCCGTCTTTTTTAGACAATTTTAGGCTGATATAGGCCATTTTCAGACCGTTTATAGGCTAATTTAGGTCATTTTCAGCCAAATTTGAACCATTTTAGATCATTTTCTCGCATTTTTTTGGGACTTACTGAAAATATTTCAAACTGGGAATCGAATCCAAATCGTGCAGTGGGATTACTGTAGTTTTGTTCGATGTCGCATGTTCCACAATACAACTTCCATTCACTAGCAGTGTTCCATTCATTTCACGACATTGAATGCGGGTACCCAGGGTGCAGTCTGAAAAACGGAATTTTTGGGGATTACTGTAGCTTTGAAAATTTTGAAACGTAGAAAATTGAATTTCATAGGCCGTGAGCTTCAAAATAAGTATAAACATGCCTTAAAATTGCTCAGAATTAGGTATCACTATTAAAATTACCGTATCTCGAGCTACAGTAATCCAAGGAACATGCTATGTATACCATTCGACTTCTTTTGTTAGCAGCTTCCAAACAAGTATACTCGTGACTAGTTTTGAAAAATTTTTTGGGTTACTGTAGATTGACTATTTGATTCAAGCCACCGTACCACCAGCTACAGTAATCCTAGAAACTTGAAATTTGTATTATTCAACTTGACTTGTCAAGAGCATTCAAATGAATATAATCATGACTAGATACGAGGAACTTTTAAGGTTACTGTAGTTTGATCTAAAAATGAAACTTACAGTATCTCGAGTTACAGTAATCCCAAAAATATGAAACAATTACCAATAGACGAAGATTTCTCTCAGCTTTCGATTGAATATAATCATGACCATTTTACAAAAACTTTTTGGGTTACTGTGGTTTTTGACCTTCGTACCAAAATTACCGTATGTCGGGCTACAGTAATAGTGGAAACATGAAAGTAGTACCATTCGACTCGGCTAGTTGTCAGCTTCCAAATGAGTATAATCATGTCCATATTTGAGAAACTTTTCGGGCTACTGTAGTTTTCGTGGTGGGACTCAAACTATCCGAAAATTGTCGGCTTTGGACTTATTTTGACCCATTTTTCGTGGGGAATTCGAATTTTTCGGTTTCAAAATCGACTTACTCTCTCCAGACCACGAATTCTGACAATTTGACCATGGGATCGAGAAGCTGAATGAGTTAATCAGATAAAATAGGGTCCACGCCGAGATGATGTTGAAGAAGACGGCGAAGAATCCGGATATTGTCACTTGGGCAAATCCAATACCCTGAAAAAAATTAAGTTTGAAAAATTATTAAAAATCGGAGTAAATGACCGAAAATCACCGAATTTTCATGGTCATTTTCCACTATTTTGTGAGGTCTCCACACAAAAACTACCGTATCTCGAAATACAGTAGTACGATAACTATGAAACTAGTACCATTCGACTTGGCTTGTTACCAGCTTTCCATTGAATATACTTATGACTATATTTGAAACAATTTTTGGATTACTGTAGTTTGACCTAAAAAATCTAACTTACCGTATCTCAAGCTACAGTATTTCTAGAGAGATGAAATTTAGACTAATTGCCTTGAAATGACAAGAACTTTCACACGAGTATACTCATGCCTACTCTTGGAAACATTTTCGGATTACTGTAGTTGGACCTCTTCACTAAAACTGCCGTATCTCAAGCTACAGTGATCCTAGAAATATGAAATTGGTACCAATGGACCTGGCTTGTTGTTAGCTTTCAAATGACTATACTCAAGACTATTTTTGAATATTTTTTTGGATTACTGTAGTATGACCTTAAAACTTAAAATTGCCGTCATTCGAGTCACAGTAATCCTAGAAATATGAAACTAGTTACGATCGACTTGGCTTCTCAAGAGCGTTCAAATGAGTATACTCATGACTAGGTTTGAAGAAATGCTTGGATTACTGTAGTTCGAGCTTCTCACTAAAACCACCGTATCTCGAGCTACAGTGGTCCTAGAAACATGAAACTTGCACGAATCGACTCAGCATAACAAGGGCTTTCAAATGAGTCTAATCATGACTATATTTAGCAGAATGTTTTGGATTACTGTACCTTAAACAACGGTACCACTTTCCATACACTAATTGCAGCTGATGATGAGAATTGTCCCAAGACCATTTCCATAAAGAACATTGGAAGTGCGGCGAGACATAGCATGGCGAGGTACGGTACCAGGAACGCGGCTCCGCCATTTTGAAATACCAAAAATGGGAATTTCCAGAAGCTTCCTGTAATGAGAGATAATTAGTGGGGGAGGGGGATAATTATGTATATAGGTATAATTAACTAGATGCTACAGTAACCTGAGGAATTTTTTCAAAGATTCGCAGGTCAATTTTTCACCCGGAAAAATAGTCAAAAAGAATATATTTTTGGGTTACTGTAGTTTGATCCCAAACGTCAAATCTACCATATCTCTACTTACAGTAACCGAATTTTCATGGTCATTTTCCACTATTTTGTGAGGTCTCCACACAAAAACTACCGTATCTCGAAATACAGTAGTACGATAACTATGAGACTAGTACCATTCGACTCGGCTTGTTGTTAGCTTTCCAATGAGTATAATCATGACTAGTTTTAGAAACTTTTTCGGGTTACTGTAGTTTTCGTGGTGGGGCCCAAAATGGCCGAAAATGAAAAGTCTTTTTGAATCCTGTAACAATCTAAAAGGGTAGACAAGCTTAGTTCGTTTAAGGCTTCAAAAAATATTATTTTCCGAA